GAATAGATTTATGTTGAACTTTTAGGAAATGTTTATTACTCTTTAAAAAATGTTTATTACACCACAGAATAAAGTTTGAAACATTTCAGAGAGCTAAGAGCGGGGCTCCCATCTGATTGTCATTCTGCAGATGAAGCTTGCCACACGGGGACATTTCTCAGCAGCAAGCAGCTCGGAGGCAGGCCYGGYGTGACTAATCGGTACGATCTGGACTTCTCCCGGTGGGCCGGACTGATGCTTGGGCCGCAAGGGCYGATATAACTTSTTAGTTATTGATCAGATCRCTTCTACGGCTTTCCCTGGATTGCCGGCCATTTATAYGATACAATAGCTTGCCATATTCCCAGGGCTGTAAGGGCGTAACTTTGTGCTGAAAGTTGGTGGGGGCGCACTGTGGGGGACGGGGTCTGACGCACCCACAGTTGTGCAACCAGGTTTTTCTGTTGTTCATGYCTTCAGTGTGTGCTCAGTTTAATTGTCTGCACYCGTYRAYAACTGAACACCAAATGTTTCTGTTGTRATGCAGTAATACTCAAACTATATTAACTGAGATTATGTTCACCTTTCATTCAACCATGTAGTGCACCAGCTCTTTAAACTCACCAAGAATACAGTTTGATAACCAACCATAGTTTCATACAGAGACACACAGGTGGAGCACAGGTGTGTTGGTTTATTCTCTCACATAAGAAGTCTTTTAATGTGTGTAAAGGACACACTGGAGGGGGGTCTGGGTTCAAAAGTTCAAAAATAAGTTTTGAACTTTTTCCGCTCTCCTCTCCTCCTGCTTCGCAGTGGGCGCTGTCATGTGCGCAGCCGATGGACACCCTCCCATGCGCGGGGGCAAATTGTACGGCTTTTTAGCAAAATTTATGGATTTTTGAGGCGTTTTATACAGGTAAACRTCCGAAGAGGTTGACATGTATGTAGTTCTGGTTTTCTCCCAAAGGGAAGGGGATCATGAAGCATGTTAAAGAAGACAAGAATCGTCCCAGAAATTGATTACCACATTCCGATGGGCACCATCTCTTCATTGTCAACACAGAAAGCTGCAACAACAACTTGCTGCCTGGTATTTGATGTGTTCGACATGCTGTCCTTGGTGCTACTGTGTTCAGCACAGTGAATACGTCAAATTGGATTTTTATCAAATATTGTGACTTTCAAAATGGCGGCCATRTTCTGAACATAGCCTAAAGATAAACGTCATCACCCTTTATGTGCTGGGGTATCCAGATGTTTTATTTTCCCTTACGTTTCTGACATAAAAGCATGTTCTAAGGCTATAACTCACCCTGTATACCTTTAACCATACAAATGTAGTATGTTTTGCACTTTTCCCTTGTRATTCAGTGGTCTATTGTGACTGTTAATGTGAGACACTACTTGATACCAGACTGTTAAAGTCACCACAACCTTCTCCATTCTCTTCACTGATGACAAAGGCTCACACGATGACTCAGAACTACTGCAGAAGATCAACCACACTTACTTGCCTAGCCACTCTCCACAATCTTCCTTACCACCTTCCTCTAATTCTAGGAATGCACGCCTTCCTCTTAATCCTCGATTAAGTAAGACATAAGTTCAGAACATACCTTTCTTTTAAAATGTCCACCTATTGCTTCTTGYATAAAGTCATATGCATAATTGACAATGCAAACACAACACATTGACTGAATCAAACTATATATTACAAGGATTTTTTTATCTGTAAAAGTGGTTTTGAAAGATAAAATTACAAGTTCATTAATTTGATTTCAAAGTGCAGTTCACACCCTGTCATTTCAAAAGAGAACATCTCAAACAACAACCAGCTRCGGGTTTTATTATTAAATTAGAAGTAACGTGACTCCTGGAAATAAATACATGAGGACTTGTAAAATAAGAAAAGTGTCTAAGAGATTAAATGTTAACCAAACATGTAATAGTATTTTTGCTGTTTGAGCTCATCGGTGAAGACAAAGGTGTCAAAGCAAGTGAGCCGAGGGTCGGAAACGAAAAGTTGAGCCTTTTGAATTTTACAAGTTCCACAATGTTCAGCCTTTTGGGATTTAGGTTCTTGGTACTGCTTTCAACAGTGAGGGCAGCAACATATGAGAGGTGAGTTTTAATTAAAGAAAATAACTTGTAAGGGTTTCGATTTAAATAAGATGTAAGAAAATAATGAATAAAAATAAATCTCTTAGTAATGTGTATTTGCAGGAAATATATTTAAACGTAAAGTGGTTAATTTTGATTTTAGACGCAAAATTCAAATGACTAAATGATTAAATCAGAACTTCAAATTCCAATTTATATATATATATATGTGTGTGTGTGTGTGTGTGTGTCATCATCTCAGTTGTGTGCAATCTGTTCAATCTGTAACAAAATATATTTACTTCATCAAACTATACACACATAAAAAAATTCTGTTACCACTATATAAATTTTATCTTCTAATAATTTAATAAAATGTTGATCGAACAAAAAAGTTTCATTATTTATCAAGTACATATTTGAGTTTTAAAAAGATATTGTTTAACAATAAACAATGTACATTGGAGCACAGTAGTAATACAGTAGTACTGGCAGAAATGAGACTTTTTCCCAAATGCTTTTAGTTCACAGTAAAGAACAAACCCTTTTTCCTTTAAAACCAAATCGTCCAAAAGTACTTTCTGAGAAAATAAAAGTTTATTTTAGCTAATCTTTATTTCTTACTGTGAAATTTCATTTTAATACACTTTATAAATTTTCTGTGATGCTTTACTTAGTGTAATTATATTTTATGCTGCTTTTTATTGCACAGAACTTTGGTTGAACTTGTGGATTTTTAAATCGACACTTTCCAATGATTGCTTTTTGAATTTTGTAAGGARTCTAAAATAAAGTCATCTGGTATACTTTTTAAGTTTTTATGTTTCCTGAAAATCTTGAACAATATTACTTCAGCACTACTTTTTGTTTTTCAGAAGGTGATCTTTCCACTGAATGCGTTGCTTATATCCTGCGTCTAAACAGAGTACATTTACAACCATATATCYCCTCACCATCATCTTGATAGGCAAACAGAATCTTCAGTCGTGAGCAAACGTTTATCACCACTGTTGTTTCTCTATGGGTCAAAATATGTTCTAAAYATGCAGGTGGTTTGGTAAAGCATAATTTTCATTAAATTCAAAACATAAGGAAACATGAGGGACATCAAACTGAAAAAAATTGTGTAGAACTTCAGCGAGTCTGGCCTGTAAATGCCAACTGTGAGGATAAGCCTTTGAAAACATTTGGAATCTCTCCAGACCACTTTTATTCCAGTATGTTTTGTTAGATAATATTTGAGCTCTGGTTCCCAATCACAGAGCCAAAGACTAATACTGTTACATGATGCAAAAATGTTTGGAACCAGTGTGAAGAGTGTCTGTGTTCTAGAAATATGTGGATTATGATTTAGACYAAAGGTGTTAAACATGAGCGTCATTGTAGCCCTCAAAAGGCCAGTTGGAATTAGCTTCAATCTTCAACTTTAAGTAAACAGGAAACATCATGTTCCATGTCAGATTRCTACGACTGAGCCCTGCTAACAAACAATAACTGAGCTCTACGTGGTGTTTCCTWCATAGAAACAGTTTTAACACGTTCTCTTATAAACATTGGAAAAGTACTACCTGTACGACTGACTAAATGCGAAATAAATAAWACAGAAATACTAATAAAAGTRAAAGTAAGYGGGGAAATTCCCACTTCCCAGTACAATTGGGCCACAGCAAATGAAGCTCGGCTGCAATAAAAGCATCTTATTAGATGATCTCAGTACTCTGTTTGGGTTATAAAAGTGCAAAAGAGCCAATAAATAACTGGGTGCCAAACCATTTTAAACTTTCAAAKTAAGTAAAAGAATTTTAAAATCAATGTGAAAACAAACAGGCAGATGGTGTAGCCAGTTTATGGTCGATGCTGCAGCTTCTTTTACAACATTAATACATATTTGAAGCTCTCACGGACCACATAAAATGCTGTGGTGGTGGGCCACATTTGGTCCACAGGCCTTGAGTTTGACACTTTATTTAGAACGTCTCTACTATAGATAATTCAGCTCTGTACAGACCCTAAATGTAATGTTGAATAGTTGTTTTAAACACTGGAATTTATGATTACAAATCTGTTGAAACACTGAGTGAAACAAATCTGTTGATGTCAGACCACAAAGCTCCTCTATGATGTAGCTCTTTGTCTAAAATAAAGAATTACCTCGTAGTAAAAGACATGAGGAAACTTGTCGAACATTCCCTCTTTTTTTCCCTCACATGAGTCAATCCTGACAGTAGGGATCTTCTGCTCATTGGTTAAGAGTATCCAAATACCTGAATTTACTTTATTTTGACCTCTTGTTTTGTGCTTGCCTTACAAGATGCAAGCAATACTGTGTTTTGCACATCTGGCCAAKATTTGTGGGAATTAAGGTCTTTTTAAAACTTGATTAATTTTCTTGAATGTACTTGTGTTTTGTTGACAACAGAGTGGAGTATAATTACTACAAATACCACCCAATGGAAGAGGTGAGAGGACCAAAAACACACAAATATAWACAATTGTTGAGAAATTATGGTGTTGGAGACATTTTGGTTAACTCTTAAACGTGATATCTCAAAATCTGTCACTGGAGGTACMGTTGCTCTCAGCTACAACACCAAAATTTGGCTTAATTCTGTAAAATGGATTGGGAGTTATACAATTTTGTATGTGTTTACGAAGGCCAACTAGCTATGGCAACCATCTTGACTTGGGTTCACTTTACAGATCAGCAGATGGATGAATCAGATGGTGAAGGATCACCCCAATCTTGTGACCATAGAGGACTACGGGCAGACCTATGAAAACAGAAGTATTACATTATTGAAGGTGAATTGTTTCACATGAAAAAAAAAAATCAAAAAGCTTATATAGACCAGAGTTGCCTCATATTTGGGGGCATTGGATTTTGTTTTCCAGATTGGTATCAAAACCGAAACGAAGAAGAAGGCTGTCTGGATGGACTGTGGTATTCATGCCAGAGAATGGATCGCTCCAGCATTCTGTCAGTACTTCGTCAAACAGGTAAGAAAACCATAAACCAAATACAACGGGGTAGAATATGGTACAGATCATTTTGTTGGCTCTTTTGAATCAGATCCTGCAAATGYATGAAACGGACGATAAAATGAAAGAGATGATGAAGAACATGGACTTTTACGTCACGCCGGTGCTCAACATCGACGGCTACCTGTTCACCTGGAAGGACAACACGGTCGGTGTTTAGGTTTCAATGGATATTTGTCTATGGAGAGAAATTAGTCTCAACAAGATTTGAGCGAGAAAGCAACAAGATTCAGACACCACCAGAAAAATATAATTTTGTGTATTTTATAGACTGTAGGCTACATATATCTGTTTGTCTCCCCTTGTCTTTTTTTAGTGTTCTCCTCAGTGCGACCGTGCCCGTGTTCTTCCCTGGCTCCCGTCATGCACAACTCATGTCTCTCCCCAGGTGTTGCGAATCTGCTGTKTTGAAAAAGTCTCAAGTCGAATTCACAGGCGAGCTGATCCATGCGCTTGTTCGCCTGTGAATCTTGTGCTCTCTCAAATCCTTTTGASACTAACTTATCTTCATATTYGTTAAATTACTCTGAGTTCAGATGAGAGGATTGGTTATTAGGTGAACAAGGCACTTGTGTTAAAATGAGTTCCTCTCAAATCATTGGAAAAATTGACCATAATGAAGATAATTAGACGGCATCAGTTTGAAGACCCGTTGAGTACCTTAAGCGTTTGTGTCATTACGGAATTCATCCTCACTGATTGAACATTCTGCTCTGTTCAGACTCGACTGTGGAGGAAGAACAGGTCAAAGGGACCTTYAGCTGACTGTTTCGGCACCGATCTCAACCGCAACTTCAACTCCAACTGGGGCAGTGAGTGCTCACTGGTTGGCGGCAAAATTGTGAATTCAAAATGTCTCAAAAAGTTCCCAAGGCTTCTCAGTTTCCTCGTGTGAGTTGCTCGATCTGAGCCCTTCACAATGTACTTTTAGTAGAGCTGTATGTTTTGTGAAAACATGACTCCAACTCTCCAACACTTCCCAGTCTCAGCCCGGCAAGAGGCTTCCTGAAGCCGTCATCGTATCGGTTCAGTCCAATATTATTTAAAAGTTTGGGGTTTTATCGCTGCGCCTGATKCAGATGTTTTCTGTTTTACATTCACAGCGGTGGGAGTTTCCTTCAACTGCAGCTCACAAATCTTTTGCGGGACCCATGCCACGTCTGAGCCTGAGGCCCAGGCTGTGACAAACTTCTTGGAAAGTCGAAAGGACGACTTCCTGTGTTTCCTCACCGTTCACTCCTATGGCCAGCTGCTCCTGGTCCCATTTGGACACCCCAACTACACCGCCTCCAACTACGAGGAGCTGGTATTTACCTCCAAACATTTCTCAAAGTTGTTTGGTAGTCTTACATGCATCGTCAAGTTCACTGCCCTAACACTGCTTTCAAATCCTGAATCCAAAGTACGCTGATTGATTGCAGATTTATACCCAAACTCATTATTTCACACTGTGTAAAATTAACTACACTCGTCATCGTAGCAACCATCTGCCAGGATATGGCAAAGCAGAACAGGAAGAGRCAATAAAATGTTGACAAGAGCAAACAAAAAGCAACATGGGGCTCACTTCCAGAGAAGATGACTGTATTATTAGATTACAGTATGCAAATCAGGATTACACAAGTCCATCCGTGTCTCTGGTCTTAGGTGGACTTTAGCAGACAGAAGCTGTTTTAGCTCCAGTCAGTTCTTCAACTCATCTCTGAGCCAGAGATGAAGCTTAAAGATGATAGTGGACAGCCAAAAGGACAGAGTGAGGTATCTTTCAGAGGAATATGTCTCTCTCTAATGGTCTTTTAGCACTTAAGGCCCAGCCCGGCCTGAGTTCAAAGCTGGGTTCAACGTGTTTGCATCAGCCCTTACRGCCTAGTTCCAGCAGGATTTCTGGAACCCCGAGATCCATGGTTCTGTCCAGGCAGGTCGGCCTGATTTGACATCAGCTACTGCTGCTSATTGATTGGTTCACTGCTAATTTGCAATGACTGTAAAAWTTTTTTAACTAAACAACAACAGTAGCTACCCAACAACATGCTATCATTAGCYACCATTAGCTTCTCGTCCTCTGTCRTCCTGCCGCTCGTCATTAGCATCACACTACTGGATGGTCCGTTACAGCCATTGATATRTATATTACTGGATTGGGCGTGGCTAGCGCGTTGCTAGCTACATTGACGTGCACGCACTGGAGCTCTGTTATGCATCGAGGAGCCTCAACAAAACGAATGGTGGTCAATGGACTGTAAAGCGTCATCCTGATGAAAAACTCTTATAACTTCCTTAGTTCTTGCTCGATTTTTACAAACTAAGGTTCAAAATAAAGC